TTCTTCACAGGGAAGGCACAAACTCTCTTAGCATTTTCAATAAAAAGCCAAGTACTTACTTCTTGGTTCCCGGGGGCCGTCCACTGTCACTTTAATAGCTCTGTGATAAGTGGCCACTTGGGGAGGATTTGTAAAGACTGTTATGGTCAAGGTGAAACTCTTGCCTGCAGAAGGAAGAAGGGAAAACACAGTGACTATAAATGGGTGGTATTGATGACCCTACAACAAGGTATATAGACATCCAAATTTCACTTAAGCATCTCTAACAGACCAACCAATCAGGAGTCCTTCCTCTAAGCCCGAAACCTACTTAGGAACACTTCTAAGCTTGTTCCTGACCAAGATCCCAGTCTTTCCTGAGGTTCTATGCAAGAAGCCTCCAACACCCCCCTCATCCCTACCCCAATAATCTCCTGAGTAGTGAAAACAAAACTGTGGGGCCCCTTGAAGAGGCATCTCTGCTTTTCCACTTTCTCCAACATCAGGAACACAACCTTGTGTGAGGGCTGACAATTTCAGAAGTCTTTATTTAGGATCAAGTCATGACCCCTTGAGAGAACAATAGTAAATTATTATTGGTGATGTTATTTACATTGCATGGCCTTAGCATTGTATCTGCTTAAGTGAACTACTTAAGATGAAAGAAGGAAGCTGTGTGGGAATCATTTCAACAGGAGCCCGTGTCTCCTGTTCCCACCTTAACACATCCATGGTATATGATTTTATCAGGGGACAGTTTCCTCCCCCACAGCTCACACCTCCCCTAACATACACCTCATAGCTAAATCTTGAAGGAACTGCCTAAAGTTACTTTTTTTTTTTTTTGCTAAACAGGCATGACACCTCTCGTCTCAAACATGAAGTTTTATTTTTTGAATAGATTTTCTGCAATGACATACTCCTTCTGATGCTTCAAACTGACGAGCTATAAGTGATGAATAGTGGCGTGGGGGCAGGGAAGAGTGTGGTAACAGATCTGAATGTCTGCTTTCTCCAGAAGATACTGGTCTCTGTTCTACAGGCTCACTGACAGTTGTAATCAGTTAGATTTGCAATGGTTAGTCATGTCAGATAGTCAAAACTGCAAACTGTTACAACACAGGAAAAGGTGGGCGTGAAACAGTGACTCAATAAAACATCAGCAGGCTGCACCAGGGTGCTCAGGCGTCTGCCCCTGGAGCAGATAAAAAGCTCCTTTTGTTTTGCTTTGTTTTTCGGTCAGATTTTCCCCCCTTCTACTGAAAGCTGGGAGTACTAAATCAAAACACAAATCTTAGACAATATGTAGCAATGTGAAGTTTAATGCAATCTTTTCATAGCTTAATATGGAACAGGTTATGCGCCAGGCTTAATGGAGAACAGGTCTTTGGCTGTCAAGTCTACTGAATGGCTTTTCTTTTCAAACCAGACCATGTAAGTTCCTAAAATCTGGTTAAGAAACACATCATTTGTTACTGTGTGAGGATAGTCTTATGACTCTTGACTGCTTTTCCATAGCTAAGGGGGTAAAGAGGAAAAGACAAGGCAGGAATGTGGGAGGGGATGGAATTAAGATATATTGATTAGAAATTCATTAAGTTCCAGCCACATCAACCACATTATCTCATTTAACCACCCCAGTTAGAGTCATCACCCCAATTCACAAATGAGGAACCCTTAGCCCTGAGAAGCTCAGTAATTTACCCAAGGTCATGCAATTAATAAATGAGGAAAATCAAGAAGTAAACTCAAACCTTTCTGACCTTAAAATAGATATTCTAGGGTAGAGATGTAACAGGGAGATAGAGATAAGTAACATGTATAAAGCCCTGGGTTCAATTCCCCCAAACAGAAAAGAAGGGAGAAAAGGAAAGAAGGGGCAGAGGAGGAGAAGGGAAGGAAGGGAGAAAGAGAGGGAGGAAAGGAGTGAGATGAGAGGGAGGAAAGAAGAGGAAATAAACAAGGTTTTTTTCCTATTTTACCATAGAATGTGAAAAAGAAATAGGTAGCTTGTTTCTAGGTGTGTCCCAAATAGCTCCCTGTGCCCAGGAAATAGTAAATATAATTGAATTAAAGTAATGGATGAAATTGTCTATTTTTAAGCATTACTGATGCATCACATCATATTTACTATATACAAGATATTACATGGAAATAAGCAATTTTTAATTCAGTACAGAACAGAGGATTTATTGCAAACATTAACCATTGGCCAGAAAAATAAGACAGTCAGGAGTCTAAACTAGTCCCAGAAAACTCAAAGTCAACAGAAATGGAGATCAAAAAGTTGAGTAGGAGGCCCAGATTAAGAACTCAAAACAATGGCTGAGTCTCTGGATTCAAAGTTAATTTGCATTAAGACATTTTAAAACAGCATTTTGGGTGAGATTAGTGGTCCACAGACTCGAAATTACACTTCCAATAGTGACTAGAAGACAGCATCCCTGGTGTTAATATTAATACGTCAACAATACCTGTGGTTTGCTTTTCCTTAGTATCGCTACATGACCTGCTAGTGAAAATGTCTATGAACATATAGTGACTGGTTTGGGAGGGGGTTCTATTTTGAACCTTTTACAGCCTTCTTGGACACCTTCACAGCCTAACTTTGCTCCTTTCAAAGTCAGAAAAGCACACTTCATATAGAAACTGAACCTGATAGGAAATCCACCCTTCAAGCCAATAGCATCAAAATCCCCAGAGATGAACCGGTCCTCCCCTTTAAAAGCTTCACTCGGGCTGGAGCGTTGGCCCAGTGGTTAAGAGCACTTGTCGCTCTTGCAAAGGACCTGGGTTCGATTGCCAGAAGCCACATGGAGGTTCACCACTTCCTTAGGCACCAGGCAAGCATGTGGTGCACAGACACACATGCAGTTAAAGCACTCATGCACACGAAATAAAACAAGTATAAAAAATATTAGTGAAAAAATTAAAATCTTACAAAAAAGAAAAAGCCAAACCTCCTTTAAAAAGAGGTAGGGTTGCAGGAGAAGTTGTCGTCTTCCAGAATTGACTCCCAAGGCTCAAACCGTGCTTTTATAATAAAAGCAAAGGCAGAAAATCCTCTTTGTGTTTCTGATTAGCCCCTGCTTGCAGTGTGGAAGAAACTTCCAGAAACTCTGACCTGACTCACTAATTAGTTCATCTTATAATAATGCATTTCCTGAGTCAAATGTTTATGTGGGCATTTGTGATTTCCTTAACTTAAAACAAAAAGTTTTCCAAATTCCACTTTCTAAAGCCATCAGTGGCACATGAATCCAGGGTTACAACTTTTTACATAATTTTATGTGCATGGGTGTTTTGCCTGCAGGTATGTCTGTCCACCACGTGCATGCCTGATGCCATTGGAGGTTAAAAGAGGGCATTGGCTCCCCCTGGAAGCAGAGTGACAGACGGTTGTGAATGGCAGGTGGGTACTAGGAATTAAACCCACACTGGTCCTTGAAGAGCAACAAGTGCTCTTAGCTACAGTCATCTCTCCAGCCCGCAGGATTACATTCTTAACAGTGGCCCCAAGGGCTGTGGTGGAGAGGTTCCATCTATAGGTGATCCACTAATACAAGACTAGTGATGCTATTTAAAACAAATCGTACTTGGGCTGGGAAGGTGGCTCAGTGAATAAAAAAGGCCTGAATTCAGATTCTCAGCACCCATGTTAAAAAGAAAACAAGCATGGTGGCATGTGCCCCAGCACTGGAGGGTAAAGTACAAGAGGACCATGGGATACAGAGCCAGCTGATCTAGTTGACACAGTGAGCTGCATGAGAGACCATGTCTGGACAAAGGAGTGGGAAAGAGACTGAACAAGCTATCTGAGCAACAATCTCTGACCTCCACAGGCACAGGTACCAAGCACACACGTGTGCAAACATATTCATCACCCCCTGACACACAGAATCCAAATCCTACTTCGGCAAGGTTTCATCCACCGTTTCATCTAGGAACTAGTCCTGCAACACTGCCCAAGGTCATATCATTTCTTGGATACATAGAGGGACTGTCACTGAAAGACAATTCCAGCTTAGCCTTAGAGACTGCCGGAAGAGCCAGACTGTAGATAGGATTTAGTCCTACAATGACAAAACACCACAATCTGTGCGTTGTAAATGCTTTAAAGGGCTTGTAAATTAAAAGCAGCACGCACACCAAAGAAGAAGGACAAGGAAGAGGGGGAGGGGGAGGGGAGGAGGAGGAGGAAGAGGAGGAGGAGGAAGAGGAGGAATGGTCAAAGTCAGTTTACACACTTCTGTGTAAAGTGTTAAGGAGAAAGGGGAAGAGACAATTAAAAACATAACTTCTTGCAAGTTTCTCGGATGCTGAATGTATCTCCAGCATTCTTGAGTGCTGAGTCCAGCAAGGATCTAGGAAGCAAAAGCGAATGGAAACATGGATGCTTTGCAAAGCTAAGGCCCACTTTTCAGTTTCAGTGAGTCTAGGTTTCCACAAGTGAAAAGGTCAAAAGATACGCAATATTTATGGAACTTGGTTTTTGTTTTGTTTTTCTTTTCTTTTAAACACCATCGACGACACATTTCGTGAAGTTTCAAGAGAAAATCCATCATCATCAGACAAAGCCTGCAGCGAAGACTTAGCAACAGAGACGAAGGTGTGTGAGAATCAAAGAGGAAGCTGGGGACGGTCTTGTAAAAAGCAGGTCAGGCTTGAGGGTTTCCTGCCGCTGAAAACCTGACTCATTTTCATCGAGAGCCGGCTCTTACTGATGCACTCTGGCTTTTTCTCTCTCTCTCGCCATTTTAGCTTAATCGTATTGCTTCCTCTCATTCAAAGTAACATACTAATATAAAATCTATTATTAGTGATAAATCAATTTCTCTCTCTCTCTTTCTCTCCACCCACTCCCCCCCCAACCCCAAGTCTCGAAGACAAGTCTGGACCAATTTCTCCATCCTGCCTCTGGCAGCAGACTGGAGCACTTCAGATCCTCCACCTCGTCCCAGCTGCTTCAAAGGAAAAATCCTACTTTCTTCAGTTAAGATCATAAGAAATATAGGGGGAGGGGGTCAGCTCTGTTTGGACATAATTACACTTCATCAAAAGAGGCTTCCTTCATCTTCCATGCGTGAAAAGTCTGCAAGCAGTTAAGTCTGTCTTTTTTTTTTAATATAAAAATTGCTATTTGGGAAACCAGCCAAAACTCAGAAAGCCAATATAGTAAAACAGCGCACACCCTTTGTTTCCTTTTGAAGTTTCTTAAATAAATATGTTGAGGGTTTACAAAGTACACTATCACTCCGCCATAGTTTCTAGTCAAATTGATCAGAAAAAAAGGGTGATTTAGCATCTATATAACACAAAAGTGCAACAAATGAAAACACAAGTTTGGATCTGTAAAATAAAATTGAGAGTAGCAGCCCATCCTTTAAAATATTAAAATTCACTGCTCTGGTCACAGTAACATAAGAAGAAAGATGCAATTTAGAGGATCCAGGAACACCATCATGTTTGCAGTTAGAGCATACAGGTACTTTCTTACCTTTACTTCTTGTTTTCAGGAAGAAAAGGGAGAAACTTAACTCTATTGTGACTCTGCAACAGTAACTAAGAAACAAACGAAAACACAAAGAGAGTAGAGGAAAGAATGAATGAATGACTGAGCACACACATACCCCAACCCTGATTAGTCGCTAGAGATAAGCTGTGTCTTCTCGTCCTTCTAATGAAGGAGTACAGAGCCTGCTACAGACAAAAACCCTTTAGTGTGGTCTTCTCAGAGGCTCTGCACCTCGTTTTGGTTCAAATCTTTCAGTGACAGCATCTCATTAGCATGCATTCTTTTTTTATTTTTTTCTTCAGTTAAAAAGTACAGTTTCTTGGCCCCATTCCTAGAAAGTAACTAAAACTACTCATCGGAAACAGTCTTGCTTAAATTTCCCTTATCAAGTTTTTACAATGGTAATAATTTGACATATGACCCCAAACTAGAGAGTAATTATTAGACATGGTTTAGAATGGGTGTTTCTCATTTCCTGATTCAAACCTGGGCTGCAGTGAATACACACACAGGGTTCACGGTTTCACTTCACCTCAGTTCTAAAGTGCTTCTACTTTTTTTCTCTTCTTAGTGTAATACTTAAAATGGAAGTATTAGAGCCAATATACTGAATGAACATAATACTTCCGACAGGTGAATAACCAGTAGCAGTCTCTCCAGAGAATAAGTAAATAAAAAACAAAATATTGATTTCCTCAGAGACTCCATCAAAATAGAACTCCACTTCCAAAGCAGGGGTGAAATCCTTAAAAGGCATACTTCCTGTTCTGTGACTCCTCTAACTGTTCCTAGTATCTTAATGTGAATTCAGAGGACTGAAGACCTGAAACACTGTGGAGCCAATGAGATCCTGACCAGCTGTGTAGGTAATTTTATAGTCGTTCTAACATAAGTATTTCACTTATTCAAATGAAAAGCCTTGAGCCAGGCTTGGCGGCTTTTAACCCATTACTCTAGAAGATGAAGCAGGCAGATCTCTGGGAGTTTGAAGCCAGCCTGGTATACATAGCAGATCCCAGGCCAGCCAGGGTTACATAGTAAGAATTATATATATATATATATATATATATATATATATATATATATATATATATAATGTTTTTTAAAGATTCTTATTAAAAAGATAATTGAAATCATTCAGAAGTGACATCACTAAGGAAAGCAACACTCTAGCTGTCCCCATTTCAACTCAGAGTAAAGCTGGTACTGTAGGAAATCTTTCCACTGCAATCACTTTCCTTTCCCCATTGCCTTTCAGTCTACTCAAGTCATATGACTCCTCATAATTCAGAACTTGATGCTCCAAACATTCTTTTCCCTACTGTACACACTAACCCCCACGAAATTAGGAGCAAGTTCTTCTGAAAACATGGTTTGACTCTTCAATATCATAAAACAAATGAAAAAGGCCTAAATACTCAGGGAAACACTCAAGGGCATCTGGATTTATTTAAACAACGCCTCTGTGGTTCTGTTTCAGTAAAAAGATGCTGAGCTGCATAAAGACAAGTCCACACTGCATCCATGATCAGAACTAAAAACCAGAGACCTACCTCGTCCACTCCGGCCCACGAACCTCAGATCATTGAACCTTGCTACTTGGTTCTTCATAACAGCAGAGGCATTCCGGAGCTCAGCTGAATAATTCTCATCGTTCCCTGCCATGACAGTAACCACAGTCCCATCTGGTACCTCTCCGAGGGCTACCACCTACATAAAACAGGAAACACAGAAGGAACAGTGGCGCATCAGGAACACTTAAGAACTGAGAGCACACACTTACTGTAAATGATGTCTTATCAGGACCCAGTGGTCCTGTGGTCCAGTGATGGCAGACCAGAAGGGAAGCATCTGGTATTTGGGCTATGACACCACTTCAAACACACTGATGTTTCAGCATCCACCCAATTTGAAAGCAAGCTAAATTTTCCTTTATTTAGTATACAATTCTTCACAAAATATATGCACATTTTTATTAAATCCCCATGCTAGACTGTCTGCGGGAATTATAGTTCAGACAGAAAGCTGATGCCCCATCTGCATTATTATACCATACATATTAAGGTGTCAACTGTCTACAGCCCCCAGAGCTCCAAGGTGTGGTCCCAAGTCAGATGTTAAGCTAAAGACAGAAGAGTAGTTAGGAGTTCCAGAGACAGCTCGGTGGGTAAAGTGCTTTCTTTGGAAGCATGAGGACTCAAGTTCAGATCCTCAGCACCCATGCAAAAGTTGGGGGAAGGCAACCTGTATGTGCAATCACTGCTAGAAGGTAGAAAACAGGCCATCTTAGGGGGCTTGCCAGCCAGCCATCTTAGCCTAATTTGCAAGCTCCAGGCTCCATGAGAGGCCCTATCCCAAAACCTGAGGGGCGGGGGGCAGAAAGAGATGGCTCCCCAGATTAAAGACTTTCTACAAAGTTTAACTTGAGTTCCATTCCTGGAATATACAAGATAAGAGAGAAAGTGCTGGCCAGTTGTCCTCTGGCCTCCAAACGCTCATGCATGTATGTGTGCGCATACAGACATACATAAATGTAATTTACAAACCAGGTAGAGAGCAATTGAGGAAGATACGCCATGTCAACCTCTGGCCTTCATATGCACTCTTGACAGCACGTGGTCACACTCATATACAAAGTACCTGATTAGCTCTGTGGAAAAGGACTTTTCAGGTGAAGCTCCTAGTTCCTGGCTAAAACACTGGATACAGAGCAGGTGGGTGGTGGGTATCTTACAATTCATCTCCCTACATAGGGGCTAAATGGTTATTTTTTAATGACACTGTGAATACTTGCTGTATACCTTCTCTGCTGTGGGGCCCAGGGAGATAGTCAAAGCTATCAGACAAATAAAGTCTAGATACCGAGTAAAGGCCACATAAGGCAGAAAATGATCGTGACAAACATGTCGTACAATTGAGATGTATAGCCTGGGGAGACAGCTTGGCTGAGAAAGTGGTTGCCTTGCAGGCATGTGGCCCAGAGTCTGATCCCTAGAGGAAACATAAAAACCAGGTGTTGTGGCATATGCTTGTAATCCCAACACTGGGGATGCAATCAAAAAAGGAAGATTAGGGCACATCAGCCATCCTACCCCAAACAAGAAGTTCTAGGACCCACAGAGTCACAGAAAAAGCCAAAAATAAAAAATAAAAGCTCAAAAAGAAAGACACCTCCAAATGCATACACATGCATTGCACCCAAACATAAATAAGCACACACCCACACCCACAACCCCATTTTATTTTGACTGCCATGTTGGAATGACACATTTGTCCCCATGGTCTTCAACAGTTCATCTGAAGCTTATTGATTCGGGCAAGATACAGGATAACCTGGCTCCGAGGCATATTAGGAGGTGTTTGATGGGTATTTTGTTTTAAATAGGAGCCAGAAAGATGGCTCAGCAGGTAAAATACAGGATAACACACAGTCAGAATCACTTCATCCTAGGCTTGCTGTGTGCCTCGGGTTAGCATGGAACCTTGGTGAGACAATGCTGGCCAAGGAAACTTCCCTGTCATATATAAAGCATTCTGTTCTCAATCCACTACCAAGACCCTGCTCCTCAGTGACCACCCCTTCTTCTCCAGTAACTCCCAGGATCCTCTGCACAGCCTATTTCCCTTTCCACACCTAGTGTAGAGAAATCTTGTGCTAACTTGGTGAGGGTTCCAGCTACAATGGCCATTCTGACAAGGCACCCCTATAGATCTGTCTATCTATTTTTTCCCACTTCTTTGCTCTCATTTATCAAAAATTCCATACAACAAAATAGTTATTCCATAACATATTGGGTTTGTATCCTCTTTAAAGTGTATTTCCGGTCCAATGATAAGCAGGTACTATATTTTAGGACTGAATTGTTCCTGTCTATGATAGCCTCTCTCCCAGCCAGGAAAACAGTCAAATAAAATAAAACCTTGTCAAGATTTTTGCCACTTTTACTTGACTCTTAGGCTGTTCCTCAGTTTCTTCAGCTTTGTACCTTGTTGAGTTCAAAATCAAAAAGCTTAAACTGTAGGACTCACATTCCCAGTGTCCCGCTGTGTCTAGTTACCTCATTCTTGCAACATATAAATTGATGGTTAAAACCTCTTTTTATGAAATTAGCACAACATTTAAAGAATGGCCTTCATTTCATCTGGTTTGTTTACATACCCCAATTCCTAAAACAGTACCTAGCATATTAGGAGTTGTTTGATAGGTATTTTTTTTTAATAGAAGCCAGAAAGATGGCTCAGCAGGAGAAGTGCTTGCTATGCAAGCATGGGAGCTGATTTCAAATACTCAGAGCCCACATAAAGGCCAGATACAAAAAGATGCATGGCTGACATATGTAATGCCAGCACCCTTACTGGGAGCTGGGGAGAACAGAAACTTATGAGTCATTTAACCTGATACACAGCAGCAAACAGCGAAGAGACTGACTCAAACAACATAGGAGACAAGGACCAATATCTTGAGTTGTCCTCTAACCACCACATGCATGCCATGGCACTCCATAGTCTCACACAGGAATTTGTGCACTCATGTGTGCACACACATGTGTGTGCATGTGTATGTGCATGGGTCTATGAAACAAGTAAATGAAAGAGTTCCATAAAAAGCACTGTTCTCAGCAGCCAACAGCTTGTGGGCTACCAGCTAAAATGCTGAGAGAACCAGTTATAGGATGAGTCAGCATCTCTCAGCAGCAGCCCAGTGTCCTTGGTGCAGACCAGTATTGCCTGGAGTACATAGCCATTCTCAACTAGACAAGTCTGCGGGGTCAAAAGCAAATCCCTTGAGAACAAGACTTCCTCTCTGTCACCTTGGTCTAGCAACTCGGGTGGGGCTGGGGGGTGGTTACTAAAACAAGTGCTATGCTCCTGAAGGTAAAGTGTTTCTCCGAAGCCAAAACTGCACATTTGAAAATACAGAAATAATTGAGTATGTCTACCATTATTCATCTGAATATTAAGACATTTTATACATTCAACAGATTGTATCTTAACACCTGCTGCCTGCTTTTCTCTCAAAATAAATATTAATAAAGGTGAGAGAAAAGTATACTATTTTAGAAGAGACTACATGCACTAAAAAACAAGAGATCACTTTTTCCTCTACTCTTCCTACATACCTACTGTGACCCTTATGCCAATCATTTCCTCTCTGAGAACCATGGTTTTCTAATATAAATTGAAAGTATTTTTTTTTAATCCTGTGAAATGTATAAGATGCCACATAAGCCCAGAGTGTCACTATAGTGATCTTGTATTTGGTATGATAAGGAGAGTGTCAATTCCATGTCTGCTACCTGCTAAATACAAGCTTTTAGTGGCAAACATTCTTTAAGACTGCCACTGAATACATGATTCTTCACTTTATGGCCTCGAATGTGCAGCAGTTTTGTTGAAAGAGAAAGGATGACCCCTTGCCGGTTTCATTCCAACCATGTAGTGTTTCAGAAAATAATAATAATAAAGAAATCTGCCTCAATTTAAAGGTTTTTCAGGAGCGTGGATCATTATTATTTTGCTACATATTTTTAACATAATGAACTTTATTTTAAGTTAGAAAAGAATGAAAATTGATTCAAAAAGGGAAAATTTGAAAGAAAAGATTCCTGGGAATGAAATATATAAGTCCACTTTACTAAAGCAACATAATAATGCTTGTATTAAATATGGGTATGCTCTACATATCATATTTAGCAAAACATATGGAAAATCACAAGCTGTGTGTACCTTCTATGAGGCTTAGAACTGGGTCTGGAGAATATGCCAACACAGTGACAATCTTTCTGTTAAGGCTAACCTCTAGTCCAATGACTAAAATATAGTATATTTTCTGCTATTCATCCTATCAGGCCAGACTGACCAATGTTTGTTCTGAGGAGGGGGTAGCACATGACTTGGGGGGGAGTACTGTACTTAACTTCATATCACTCAGAAGTATAATTACATGTTTGAGACTTTTTAAAGTAGATGTCTGAAACTTAAAAGTTTTCCTTTGAATTTTCTCAACCATGTTTATCTAAAAGAAAACCAAAGAATGAAGCAATTTTTACACATTTCATGTGTACCAAACCCAAGCCATGGAAAAAAAAAAACATTTTAAGCGGTAAAAAGAACAATTAAAAAAAAAACATTCTTTAACTAGTTAGGCAGAAGCATGAACAGAGTATTTTTCCTATGCTATCCAACACGAAGTACTGTTCTGCACAGAACAAATCGTGATGAAATCATAATAATTACATTTCTAGGTGTTCTTAAAATATAACAATTACAAAGTCAAGAAAAGCATGAGAAAGAGAGAAGTCACTTTCTGTTCTAGCATTCCAGAATTGAGAAAGAATTTCCTTTATTTAGCGCACCCACTGTAACCAGTACTTAAACCACGCAATATGCAGCTGGTGCAAAATGAAGTTAAAGAGTATTTCACTCTAGGGATGTTGAAATTTTGTCTGAGACCCATTTTGACTAAATCTGTGCCTCATGCTGAATGAGGAGCGATAGCGAGTGAATTTAACTTAGACCCCTAGCCCTATGGTCTCACTATACTGGGAGTTTAAAATTGTCCATGACATTCCCATGGACAGCAGTTTTTAGTCTAAGCTGATCAATTACCCTGACAGGTTAACATTATTTTGGCATATTGCACATGTAATAAAATGAAATATAATTATTTCTGAGACAGAATCTGATCATATCTTTCTTTGTAATGAAGAGAGGGGCAACTCAATAATTGAAAGAAATGAAAACAAAAGAAAACGGTATCCTTTTTAAAGTAAACTATAGAAACATTTCAATAAATACTACAATGTGGCGTTAGAACTTAATACATGAAGGCATCTTCAACTCACTTGAAAAAAAATTGAATTCTAAAAGAAAAATAAATACAATATATCACCTCAAAAATTTAAATATATGCCCAACAAAAAATGGTGATTTTTTTCAGTTTTAGTTAGCAATCCATGTGCCATGAATCACATGGCTTAGATCATCTAACAGTGAATATTCTGGAACTCTGAAAATATACATGCCATGATGCCAAAGGAGAAAATACAAAGAAGGATGCTTACTATACCTTTCCTCAAATATAAGTTTCCTAAAGTTTAAAAAAGTATGTATGTTCTATCTAAAATTTATTCTAACTTACTAATAAGTTATATATATATATATATGTATATATATATATGTTCACACACACATATATATCATATATATATGTTCAGTCCCACAATATTTACCTTTAAATGATTTTTACAAAAAATGTGTCCTGTCTTCATACAACCTGATGTACTATGATTGACAGTTTGTATTGGGCTTAATAAGGGTTTGACAAGCTCAATGATATCATCCCTTATTAAGCTACAATTAGATTTTTTTAAAGACAAACAAAATCTAATGATTAAATGCTTAAGAAACATATAACTCGATAACACCAACTATGTAAAAGTTGCAAACTTGCTTTTAAAGAAAGAAAAATGCCCAATAATGTCAACAAATCCATCTCAAATAGAAATTGCACCATCATTTGGAAACTCTTTTCATCAACACTGAAAGATGTTATTAAAAAATAGAACATTAACTATGAGCACTTGATCATTAAATTTAAATGTTTTCTTCTATAACATTACTAGAAAAAAAAGTGGTATCAGTGAATATAGATGTTCTCTAACTTAAAACAGTGATATGGGCCTATACTACTTGAAGTTTTAAGATATACATCTGGATGTCAGCATAGTGCTTCAGCTTGAAGCTATTTAAGGCAACTTAGTTATGAACAGCAGGCTTCACATTGGAGATGCTGACAGGCCCCTGACTCAAAGGGCGCTACTGGATGCAGGGTTGACACATTCTAGCCACTCTGTCTACCAGACAAACCATCAGCTACTGAGCTGAATTTGCAAATTGCTTCGTCCTGTCACTAAAATCATCCGTGACAGAAAGGGCCTAGCATCCTCGAATAGGAGGCCTAAACTATTTTAGGGTTTTAGTGAGATACACCTGAAAGAAATGTTAAAAATATTTATTTCCATTTCCTTCACACCTGGAAGGACTGGCTATTTCAAAACTGCGTAACTTTGGTAAAAGTACAATGGTGACAATTAACTTTGCATGAAAGCCACTAGCTGTTTTGTTTTGTTTTGTTACATGCTGAATATAAATTAAGTAAGGACTTTTTTAAAATCCCCAAATTATATTACATGAACAATACCAATAGATTCTGTACTTTTTAATATAATCCATTGTCAATATCATGTCAAAGCACTATTTAAGTTACCAGATAGCAAAACAGTTTACTGAATTCATTTCTAGTTGATTGTAGTCAACTTTGTGTTCACAAACCTAAAGTACAGGCTCAATAAATATTGTATTAATTGGAACACTAGATTTCTCAACAATTGTGTTCTCTCAGTCAGGAGTTGGGTGGGGGGAGGTTTAAGGGCATTTACCTCTCTGGTTTTTACCAATACTATAATTCATTTTGTACATAGCTCTGGATATGATAGCCAAATTGCTGTCACCACGTTTGAAACGGGGACTTCTTCATATTATTTCTTCACTGCAGATGTATTTCATTATGCTGAGAGAATTTAAGAAGTCTGCTGTGCTCATGCATTTATTCCCAATGTAAGTTATTTTTTTAGAGACTGTTATTATATCATTGAGATGAAAATCATAAAAGTCACTGTCAAATTTTGAACCTCCAGATATCCATATTTTCTTTTTAAGCAGAGAGACAAAATTGTTAGGAGTAAGCCTCAACTCTCACCCACTTTTTGAATGTGGGCAGAACACTGAGTCAAGCCCTAGGATAATGCAATTTATTACAAATTTAAATATTACAATATGCACTATGTTATCAATGGTCTGTTTACCAGTTAAAATAAAAAAAAAAATTCACTGTGTAATTAGAATGCTTAGCAACAAAGAAATTCGTTTCCAAAGAGTTTTAGAAACTAGTTAGAAAATCCAGGTCTGTAATCCAAGACAAGTTCAAAATGAATTGCAATTCATCTTTATACCCCAATCCTTTCCTTGCAGAATACTTGTGCTCAATATCAATTCAGCATTTAAAATGAACAATTCAAGATAGTTATATCCTAAGCACACTCACACCAGAAGGTGCATACAACACCAGACAGTGAATTAATAAAGTTAAATCTTTACACTTTAATGCATGGCCTTGCATAGACAAAAATAGCTACTGATTTGTAACTTCCACTATTTTCATTTAGGTTTGGAAAAAGATTTTTGCTTGTTTTTGTTGTTGTTGTTAAAAAAAAAAATGTCTACCATCACAGAGACTGCTTAGAAAATTCTGGGCCCTTGGCTGATAAACATTGTAAAAAATACCTCTCATATGGAAATATCATTTCCTACAATTTCACCTATATCTGACCTCTTCGCATTACAAAGAAAGCATTAATCTACAAAATGGATGCTCTCAAAAAGGAGAAATGTGATGTATGTGTGCGCGCGCGCGCCTGTGTGTTTAAGGAGCTCTACTTGATCCAACTACAAAATGAAACTTTGAATAGAAAGCAACACACACCTCTTCAATAAGAACCATTCAGATTCCTGTTCAGATAGAAGACCTAAAGAGATAGCTAACTGCTCCAATTGACCTGGGCTCTTTCTGCCACCCCACCCACACATGGAATCTGAATTGGTGCGTGGGGTACCGGTGACCAACAACTGGGAAATGCAAGGGGCCCGTGGGAGTTTGGCACCAGAGTTTTGGATGAAGGAACTGGCACAATCACCCCCGTATTTCTCCCCCCACCTTTCTTTCTTTCAAGATCATACTTAACCTGCTCTCCACGGATGGTAGGTCCCAGGCCCACCCACTAGAGCTGGAGGTGCCTTTGGATCCATCTACCTGGCTGGCTCGCCCTCTCCATCCCTAACATCTAGATCAGCCAAAATGGACAGCCATCAACCCAGCACAGTTGGCGTGGGGGTGCTCCACGCCAATGCCACCTTCCCGGGTGGCTCCGGGAACCCCAGACTACACTGTAGAGGCTAGGGATCCAAACACCTTCAACCTGCTGGCGGCTGCCCATGACTCCCACCGCTGCCGGTATTGGCAAGCTAACGGACTCCAGCGGAGGAGGCCGCAGGGAGGCACCTTGGCGCCCAGACCGCCGGCGGGAGACACCCACCGCCCTTCCCAAGCAGACGGGACTTCTGGGGGTTCCGGGTCTTTCAAGGCAATAAAGCAAATCTACGAATTTTCACCTCCTGTTTTCATTCTGACCAGCCAAAATTGTTCCACTAGTTTCCCTCTTCCTCCCAGGCAGAGCAAAGCGGGAGAAAGCAGCCTAATCTCTGATCCCCTTCCCAGACGCTCAGTCCTGCACTCGGGGACCTAGCGCCCTGAACCCTGCAGCTGTCGGGCCTCGATAAAAGCGGGGACCCCGGCGACCGGGCATTCCTCCGGGTAACGGGAACCGGAGCCCGCCAAGGAGAGTTCCAATGCCCCTGTCCGTCCCCGCTGCCCCCCATCCCCAAATTTACTGCCAGCACCCTCAACCCTCTTGCCAGGGTTGGCACCTCATCCTGCCCCAGGCGCAAGCATCCTCCGGCGCCGCCACCCCGCGGGCACTCAGCCGAAGCTCGGGAGCTGTGGGGACTGCCAAGTGGCACCCAATCCGGGAAGGGGACGCCTAGCCTGGAGTAGCGGCCTGCAGCTATAGGGCAGGCGGGAAGGAGAGCACGGAATCCTGAAGAGAGAAGGCCGGGACTCCCGGGAGAAGAGCGGGGATCCACGCCACGGAGGAAGGGGGCGGGGTGGAGCTAGCCGCTGGAGGCTCACAGTGGGCACCTTGGGGCGTCTGGGGACAAGGGGTCCTAGCAGGGGAATGGGTGAGAACAGTGGTTGGGAGACACGAGGGATGAACAAGCAAGGGAACCTAGGCTGGGTGGTAGTGGGCACAGGTGAGACGGGGATCTGCTCGCTGTGACCGCTGCTGCTGCGTGGTATGTAGACCATGGCTCCTTGGTCCTGAGTCTGGGACAACCAGGGGCACCGACAACCATGGGCACCGAGACCACTGCCGGCAGGTTCCACGGAGCGCGGCTGGGGGCTAGGGGTGGCCCGTCTCTTACCTTGAAGGCCACAGGCAGGGT